GTGCAGCCCCGAGACACTGGGGGCCTTTTCCCTCATTTATGCATTTGATTTTTATATATAGCATAGACTCACTGGGTATATTTTATTCCAGGGAGTTAAAGTCAAACACTATCATAATTGTTGTTCAAATTATTCCAGTTTTGGTTAATAGGCACTTTTTCAGAGTGGCTTCTCTGTTTTTGATGAGCCTCCATCTTTGAGAGGAACATTCCCTAACCTTCTGACATCACAAAATGTTCTAGGATCATCTTGTATTTCCTTTGCTCCAGCCCACCCTGGAATCAACTTATTCAAGGAGCCCTGGTTCCTTACGTTGGGGAATGGTATTTAGAAGCCAAGAACTGATGCTAGGTGTGCTCTTTGTTCTGGAGTATCACTGCTTCTCGGCCCTCAGTGAATAAGTTAGGAAATATGTGAATGTATGCCACACATAGACCCATATGTGTATTTCTTAATCTGTCTGAATATATATTAAAAATCACGAGCTTATACTGATGCCTCTTGTTCCAATCCAATACTACAGGATTTATTTTCACTTTCTTCCTTTCCTCATAATGTCTTCCTCCAACAGTCAGAAACCTGGCTCTCATTATCTGCAATATATGTACTCATTTGTTCTATTCTAGTGTACACGCAAAAGTAGTTCAGGACTGCTGACTCATACCCCTGTGAGAAAAACTTTCACTAACTACAGTGCTTAAGTCTTTAGCTTTGTGCCCAGTATCTATACTGCTTCTAGGTTACTTTGGTTAGTTAGTTGTTTTCTTTTTCATCCCCTTAAGTATTATCATGTTATTCTTTCACAATACATTTACTTTCATTTGTTAGCATTTGTATTCATTTGAGTTGCCCCCATTTCCTGTTTGGTTTTAATCAGTTATTTAGGATTATGTGAAGATTATACAAGACATTAGCATGATTCTAAGAGCTATACAAAAAGATACAATCAGAGAAATATTACTGTACTACATCCTTGCTGACACACTGCCATTCCCCTCTTCTTTCTATCCCTGCCCCTTTGGTAGTCAGTCTTGTTAGCTTTTAGTTTACCCTTCCTGTGTTTTTTTGTACAAGTGAACAGATGTTTATGTATGTTCTCACAGCTCTTCTTATATGAAGGGTAACATGCTATGAATACTCTTTTGTGCTTTGCTTTTTTTTTTCATTTTATGTTTTTTTTTCAACTACTCTCCTATGAATGGGCATTTATGTTGTTTCCAATACTTTGCAATTAAAAACAACATTGTAGCTAATATATTTTGTAGCTATATATTTTCATATTGTTGGAGGTATAGCTTCAGGATAGATTCTTAGAAACAGAATTGATAGCCCCATTGATTGAAAGGTAAATACATATGTAATTTTGTTAGACATTGCCAAATTTCCCTCCAGAAGAATTTGCATTCCCAATTTACATGTACCAATTTGCATTCTCATCAGCAATGTATGAACATGCCTATTTCTTCACAGCTTTGCCAACAGAATGTGTTGCTATATTCTTAAATGTTCCATTCTGACCAATGAGAAATGGTATCTGAGTGGCTTTAATTTTTATTTCATTTTGAGTGAATTTGAATACTTCTCATATGTTTGAGGGTTTTTAAAAAAAATCTTTCATGGCAAATTGTCTGTTCATATATTTTCCTCATTTTCCTATTTGGTTTTTGGTCCTTTCCTCCTCCTTAACTTACACTTTTAACACAATTACTTGGCTATTGTGCTAAGCAAAGGTTGTAGAAGGACACTGGTGGAAGCAGGGAGACAGTTATTTCAATGATTCTAATAAGAGATAATGCAAGGTTGTCACAGTGGAGGTGGTAAACAATGGTCAGATTCCAGGTGAACCTATAATGAAGAATAAGAAAAGGAATATATGTATGTATATGTATGACTGAAACATTATGCTGTACACCAGAAATTGACAGATTGTAAACTGACTATACTTCAATTTAAAAAAAAAGAAAAAAAGAGCTAGATGAGATTATCGCAAGTGAATATAGGTGTAAAACAGACATATAAGACCTGAGCAATAAGTAACTCCAACAATAAGAGATCAAGGAGAAGGGGAGGAAATCAGCCAAAGAGACTGAAGAGGAGCAGCCAATAAGGTAGTAGGAAATAAAAAATATGGTGTCCTGGTAGCAGAGTTAAGAAAAAATTTCAAAGACAGACTTATAAAAAGTAGCAAATCCTACTGACAGGTCAAGTTAGATAAAGACTAAGGATTGACAGTTAGATGTAGCAATACGATGACTGTTGGAGACCTTGAGAAAAACAGCTTTAGTAGACTGGTAAAAATAAAACCCTAATTTGAGTGAATTTCAGAATGAGAGGGTAGGAGTTTAAGATCATCAGTATAGACAAATTTTGAGAATTTTGCTGTAAAGTATTCAAGCCACATTTCCGTATCATGAAATACATTATGAGAAGAAATGTGGGTGCTTGATTCCATGAACAAAAAAGTCTTAATAATAAGCCAAAAAATCAAAAGGAGAAAGTAGGCTGAAAAAGAGGTTAAAGAAAAAAATGAAATGAAATGAGGATGGAGGCAATATGTCTATTAGGATGATTTTAGTTTAATTTATTTAACAAACACTGATAGTATATGTATAGCTGGATCGCTTTGCTGTATACCTGAAACTAACATTGTAAATCAACATGTCAATAAAAAATAAGAATTAAAAACAATGATACATTGCTATGTGTCAGGCACTATTGAAGGATTTATAAATACAAATTCAATAATCTCTTCCAATCCTCAAATTTCACTTGAGATTGTCCTTCTTCAAACCTTTAAATGTACTCAGACATAAGAGCCCACAGTTCTATCTTATTCATTTATACTATTTCCCTAAGTGAAGATATCCAGACCTATGACTTTAAATAATATGTTTACTTATGGCCTTTAACTATATATCTCCTAGCACCCAAATTTAATATTTTAGCTTGATGGGAATATGAAATGTTAATTTTTAATATTTTAACTTGTGTTTTAATTTTTCCCACAATGCACACATATGTTTCTTTAATAATAAAATGTTAAAATTTTTCATAGGTGGTAATTAATGAACTTATATTCCCACTAATAGATAATTAAGAAGACTAACAAATGACCATTAGATATAGCAACATGGAAGTCACTGGTGTCCTTAACAAGATCTATTTTGGTGTGGTAAGGGGAGCAAAACCTGCCTGGAATAGTTTGGCAGTCCTTCAAAGAGGATATGACCCAGCAATTACACTCCTAGGTATGTACTCAAGAGAACTGAAAACATATGTCCACACAAAAACACGTACCAAATATTCATGGCAACACAGCAACATAACATCCTACTATCCAAAATGTACACAACCCAAATGTCTATAAACAAATGAATGGATAAATGAAGTGTGGTATATCCATACAATGGAATCTTACTCAGCAATTTTAAAAAGAATTAAGTACTAATAGACCTGACACAGCACAATGAAACTTGAAAACATTAAGCTAAGTGAAAGAAATCAGTCACAAAAGAAAATACGCTGAATGATTTAGTTTATGCATATGAATGTCCAAAATAGTCAAATATACAGACAGAAAGTGTACTAGTGGCTGCCAAGGGCTGGGAAAAGGCGAGTCTGGGGAGTGACTGCTAATGCTTATGAGATTTCTTAGGGGATAGTAAAGATGTTCTAAAATTAGATCATTTGATGGCTGTGCAGCTCTGTGAATACAACGAATACCACGGAATTATACACTTTAAATGGGTGAATTTTATGGTATGTGAATTATCTCAATAAAGCTGTTACAAAAATACCAAAAAGGCAGGAGAATCTGGTGCTCAGTTTGCATTTGTTCTGCTCCTTCTCAGTATTTTCTGATGTACTGTTTTCTATTTTGTTGGCAATGTACAGATTTTATTTGACTTACTTCCAGGAATTTGTTAATTGTTAAAATTTTTCCTTCTTCCTTCTTTTTCTTTTCCTCCTTCTCCTTAATCTCTATCTCTACACCACTCTCCAAACCAAAGACAACCAGATAGAAAAATGTTTGTTTGCCTCTATTAGGAAAACTACACTTTACAATTTCAAAAAGTATGAAATATGGCCATATTCAGATTTACTTCTCATACAATCCAAATCACATATGTACATATCAAAAAAAAAACAAGGAACCATTCACATAGGAATAGTAACATATCACTTTAAGCAAACAATACATTATATAGCCTAAATTCTAAAACCCATTTTGGATTATATGAAACTACTTTGTCAAAGTTACAAAACAAGTGTCCCTCACGCTTGAGAAATGTTTGAATTTTTAAGTGATGCTGCTATAATACATTTTCTTTCATGAAATTAAAAAAATATTTACATCAAAGATGAGTAGAAGCTATCATCATTTTATGGATAAAAAGACATATACATACACAAGTCAATTGACAAAGCTGTTTAGAGCTGATTTCCTCTCTTGGATTGTTAATTTCAGCAGTACACAAATACCTATTGCTGGAATAACATCTGTGCAATTTAGCTAAAGATATAAACAATAACAAATATTCCAACTTGGGGAATTCTAGTTAAAGTAAAAGAAAAATAGAAAAATTCTCCTTTCAAAAAAAGGTCTGGACAAAGACCCAGATACCACATGTAGATTATTCACAAAAGTCACAAGTGAATTAACCTTTTCTGTACTCCTTAAATAAAATTTTATAATCAATTTTATAATGAAAAGACAAGTTTCATCTTCAAAGATGCTTTCAGAATGCATCTATAATTAACTTAATGCAAAAGTATATGAAAAACACAGCTATTTCATTCAAGTCTTTTAGCATAGCAATATTTTATTTTTGCTGCATCTTCTTACGCATTTCTTCAAGAGCTGCTTCTTTCTCTCTCAGTGCCTGCTTAAGTCTTCTTATTTTTTCATCTCTAATGGTTTCTTCTAACTCTGGTGGTGTCATGGGGAAAATATCGTCAGTATAATTTTTATTGAAGGAATGACTTTGTTCAAAAGCTGCACTTGAACTCAGTGTGCCTTTCTCTTGGTTCTCTTGGGTACAATCTTCTATCTCAGGTCTCTCTTCTTCTCTGGTTTTGCTGAGGCTTGAGAGATTGCTACAGTGTGATACATTTGAAGTTGGTAAAATACTGCTAAAGTCTTGCGAACTAGTGACATTAGTTCCTCCATTTAGAGCTGTATTACAAATGTTCTCAGTTTTTCTCTTCTTTGTGTGATCCATCTTCTTAGCTGTTTTTGCTTTTCTTTTCTTATCAAAACCCTGTTGCAATTGTGAGTAAGATTCCAAAAGAAAAACAAATATTATTGCTGTATACATAGTGTACTCTCAAATTTAATGAAGTTTGCAGATATAAATATTTAGCAATTAAATTCAACTCAACAAGATCTATTGAGAACAACTACAGCAAGAAATTAGCATTTACTACTGTATGGCATCAAAGTGAATAGCAATGTCCTGATGGTATTCACTGAGAATTGCTTAATTCACATTTTCCTGCTTAAGTTGAGTATTAGGAGCTGTACTGGTCTACTACCAAAACATAACAATTTGTGAAGAGCCTAAGAAATAGAATTTATTTTTTCCTCTGCATGGTAGGCATATATAGATTACCACTGGGAAAGACTGACTGGTCTCTGATCTGTAGCTCAGGATATTAAACAATGGTAAAATATTTATAAGTAGAATGACAGTAGACAAAGCTAGAGGGATATTTCTTTTCATCATTATTGTGTAGATTTCTTAAGCTGTTTTATATATTAAGAGTAATACTGTAGTGAATATTTGCATGCTTATATTTCCTCTACAGTTCTGTTATTTATTTTAGATATGGTCTTCAAAGTAGGATAACTAATTAAAAAGTCATTTTCTTAAAATTTTATGATAAACAGCAGGTGAATAAAAATACTTAAAATTAAAAAAAAATTAACTGGGAATGTATTTTTATCTGTGCATACATGGTTCTTTTCAAAACCACGCTGGTATAATACATATATACTCAAATTTGGTAACAACTATCATTCCTATTAATGCACAAGACAAAAAACCCTATCAAGAAAGTTAATACATTTATGTATCTTTGGAGTACATACAAAGGACACTTCAAAATCTATTACCTGTTTTCTCCCTTCCTCCTTCACTATAAATTGTGTCTCTTTGTAAGTATCACTCTTCACCAAATTGCTAAATAAATCAAAACATTCTCCAGAGCCCAAATGGTGAGGAATCCGAGTAAGGCATACTCTCAAATCTTTAGTGAGACCAAATATCTTTTTAAGTTCAGCATCATTCTTCAGATATGCCTTATTGCTTCTTCCTTGAGAATTTTTCCTGTTATTTCTTTCTTGAGTAACTTTTTCTAATGTTGATGCCATCTCATTCTGGATCTGGAATTAGGAAAAAAAACACACAAACAATACTGCCAATTACTTAAGCTATTTTATCAGACTAGCAACTAAGTGATTATCTCATCTTACTTAAAATGTCATGCTTTAAAGTCCTAAATGATTGGACTGCTTTACTCTTGCCTTACTACCCACACTTGAAAACCTGAACTTAACTGAGCAAATCCACGATGTTCCCTTGCAATTTTACTTCCTTGCACTAGAAAAGTAGCAGGTAGTCAATTCTGAAACAAATGAAATGAGAATAGAGACTAATGACAAGTTAAAAGTAATCTATATGGCTTTATTTTGGAAACTGTCATGTTTCGGAAAACTCTTATGCCTTTAATCAATCTTATACTTAATCAGAATGTACCTCCTTACATCTCTGAAGTTCAGTGAATTCTGTACTGAAGGGGAGAAATGCTGACGTTATTAAGTAGACCCCTAAGAAGGAAAAGTTGGGTACAAATATTTAGTGAGCACAGACACACGTATCTTAAGTAGAACAGAAAGGTAACTATGTGGGTATGTTGGATAATTGAATGAGATGTCAGAAAGAAGGGCTAAAAAAAGGAAAAGGAAACTTGTCTACTGAAAAAAAAAACCCAACCCAATCAAGATGTTGATAAATCCTATTTCCACAAATGACTGAAAGATAAGCCCTGTCCTACCCCTTCCACCACCTAAAAAAAAAACCTGCCAGATATCTCCCTAACACCACAAAGAAACAAACAAATCCCAGCTCTCCTCTATGTATAATAATAATCTGTGCATATACTCAAAGTAGGCTCTGAAATATTTATGTATGTATATGTATTTCAGTGTACAAATATAAGTATGTACATATACACACACACAGTTTTACTAAGATTTGAATTCACATTGTCCTTCTCTAACTCTTCTAAACCTTGTTGCTCTGTGATTTGTTTAGTTTTGTTTTAAAGACTTGGCATGCCAAATGATTCAAGAGAAAGATACTGCTTGAGTTCTCTCTATCACACTCCTGAAGAGTTTTCTTCTGATGAAAGCTTTGACTTATTTAAGCATTCATGTCTGTATGGTATGTGTGTGATGAAGAGGAGGATGGGAGAGGAGTGGGAAAGAGGTATCATAGATAACTTTGAGAATTAAGAAAGAAAAGATTTCTATATACATAGATAAAAAGAACACCCTGACATGGGAAAATTACCTTTGGTTCTTGGTCTCTGAAAACACACTGTTGTGAAGTAACAGTTGTTGCATCAACAGAGGAACTTATTTTCTCTATGCTCTGGATGATATTTCCTTTTCTGGGGGCATTCTGTCCTGTACTAAATCCATCTGGAAAGTCTGGCTTTGTGAATAAAGTCTTACTCTGTTTTAAGCAGTTAATGGATTGGTTCATATTATGTGGATCTGGGGTAGAAAGAAATGGTTTCTCCACTTTTTTATTCTTCTCTGCCCTTAGATTGGCCATGGAAGCAAGTCGGGTATTTGAAAGTGATTTTGTCTCCATCTGGGAAGATTTACTTTTAGCCAAAACAATATTTACAACCTCTCTGGATATTTCTGTGACTGGACTTGAACTCACTATCTGAGATGTATCTTTTCTTGGAATATCAGGAGAAACAGAATTCTGTTGGTCAATTAGTGATGGCAAAACATCTGTCCCCTTTTTAGCCAACAGGTAGACTTTCCCATTAAACATAACCAAAGCATTATCTTTAATAGGCATACTTTTGGATTGTGTCCCACCAGGACTGATGGTACTCAATGGTGGCATATTAACAGTATTGTCTCCCAAACTTTTCCTATCTACAAAAGTTTTTAAAATCTTTGAAGCCACATTATTTGAAGATTTAACAGGAACAAGAGATGGAGTGCAAGGCTGTAGATTTTCTTGAAAAATCCATTTCACTGGAGCAGCTTGAGAATGCTGACCACCTTTTAATTGTGTCTCCTTAGCAACATTCACTGGAATTTGTGTGGTATTTAGTATCACTGGCTTTGCTATTTCTGTAACAGGTTTTGGGTAAATGTTTTGAAAGTTCTTGGTAACTACATTTTTCACTGTATTTACAGGAGATACATAAATAACAGTCGGTATTTGGGAGGCCTCAACTGTTCCTGAGGTACTTGTGGTTGCAGATGCAAGTATCTTTTGCTGAACTGAAGGAGGCAATGATGACGCTGGTACAGATTTCACTTCAGCATGGGCTGGAATCTGTAAATGATGCCCAGAAGGCAAAACTGGAGACTTGACAGTCATTGGAAGACTCTGGGTATTTACTAAAATAAAAGATGAATCATTTTGTGTTGAGGAGGGAGAAACAGCAAATGTTTGCATGGTGAGTCCATCAATTTTCACACCATGACTCTGAACTTTAGAAACTGATGAGGTAAAATTTTCAGTTCCCACAGAAGTAACTCTAACTTTTTCTGCTGTATCTACTGTTCTTGTAAGAAAATAGTTTGAAGAACTGGCTGGCTGAAAAATGGGCAATTGAACTGATGAACTTGTGGAAGAGCTGGAAATCTGAGTCTTAAAAGTAACTTGAACTGGGCTTCCTGTATTCCCTTTCAAAGCATCAGACATGACTGAAGATTGAACTAGCGGTATAAGATTTCCAGAGGAATTAGGAATTGGAAGTAATTGCAGAAGATTTTTTCCATCCGAGCCAATCGTCTGAACTACTTGGTACATGCATCCTGAAACACTTAAAAGAACATTGAGTAAATAAATACAACATACTACATGGTATATACATTTTATTTAAAAACATATTTGCAAATATTATTTTTAAAATACAAAAATTCATAAAATAAAAGTATGTAATTTGTCACTTTGCATTTTCAAAGTGATATACTGCACAACAAAGATTTTGAAGAAGTAGAAGAAATAATCAAAGATATGATCAGCTTTGATTTAGATCTTCTCACATGATTAGGCAATAGGTATAAGATATTAGCATTTATTCCTAAAACTAAAAGTAGACTTTTCTAAGGTTTTACCCTGGATAAAATTTTGCCTACTAGAACATGCTCCTCTTACACTATTAGCATTTTCCTTTCTCCTTTTCCTTAAATTCTTTCCTCTTGTTTTCTCCTTTATTATTACTAATCAGGACTCTCATTTCATCTCCATTTATGCTTATTCCATTTCCCTCACTCTTTTCTCCCTTCACCCAATCTGTTCTGTGTTCTTCCCTCTAATAATGACTCACAAGTTCTACTGTCAGCCATACTTCTTTGCTTAAGGCATCTCTTATGTTGATACCTTAGGGTGTCACTATTTCTGGAGACTAAACTTAGTTACTCATGTAGGAACCAGTTTCTTCTTTGATTTATTGTTTCAGCACATTTTTGATATTTGGTGCTAAATAGATCTTGGTGTGGCAATTACTCATATTAGTTCCAACTGTCTGTCAGTCCATATTTATAATATCAACATCATTTAGCTGAAAGGTTTTCAATGAACACGGAATACACTGGAAGTCATTTTTTTTAACCTAGCCTATTTTAATTCTGATACTTATGAACTAGTTCTTAGCACAGGTTGTCTGATTTTTTAAAAATCTAATACATAACAGTCTCTGTATAATCAATTATTTGTAGATTTCTTGAATGCAGACTCTTCAAGTTATATATACCTAAAATCACCTTTCAGTTCTTGGAAAATACTAAGCCCTCACAGGACTCAGGGCCATCACACATGCTACCTAAGTATTTCTCTCCCATCCATATAACTTAAGTCTCAACATAAATGATACTTCCCAGGAGATACATTCTCTGGCCACCTTAACTACCCTTGATCTTCCTTTATAATTAATAGTATTACATCTATCAATTTCCTTCATGGTACCACAAGTTGTCATCATATATTAATATTTTTCACTAGCCAACACAGTCTCTCATGCTAAATTCCAGCAACGTGGGTAAAGAGTCCATGTCTTACAGACCCAGTATGACCTTATATGACTAAGGTCAATGAAGAAAAAAACTTAAGAACAAAATAATAATAAGCAGACTTCTCATTAGTGCAAAAGTGTGTTTTACTGCCTACAGGTACTTTTAAACCCTCAGGTATTAACACGAATCGAAGCCAAAAATTCTATGCATCCTAGGATGCACTGGAACTCAGTTTTACCTTTCTGCAACCCAAAATAACATAATTATATCTTTACAAATGTTTAAAACAGTTTTCTTGCCATTTGACAGTACTTCAAAATGTTCTATTACTTTCAATAAATTAAAAGTTAATCTTTAAAGAGACGCACGAACAAAGAAAAGTATGAGTTCTTGCTTTAATGACGTGAAGAGAAAAACCCACCTTCACCACCTCCCCATACCCCAAAAAGCAAATATAAACTGGATCAGAACTCATTCAACTTTAACATATTAAACCAAAATTTAAAGTGTCTGTTATGGTTGATGTTGTAGGTTTAGTTATGGGGAAAGGGTCAATAAACTATAGCCTGTGGGCCACATCTGTCCCCCGTCTTGTTCCTGTGTAGTACACAAGCTAAGAATTGCCTTTATATTTTGAATTTGAAAAAAATCACAAGAATAATATTTTGTGATATGTGAAAACTACATGAGTTTCAAAACCCAGTATTTATAAATAAAACTTTATTAGTACACACTCATATCCATTTTTTTATGCATTGTACATGGCTGCTTTCATGCTGCAACAACAGAGTTGAGAAGTTGCCACAGAGATCACATGGCCTATAATGCCTGAAATATTTACTATCTGGCCCTTTACAGAAAATATTTGCTAGCCTCCAAGCTAGTTCAACTCACAATTCCTGAAAGAACTTAAACTGCTGGAAACACGGACATGAAGATAGGCAATTATTAAGTGAGATAAATGATGTATTTGGATGAGTACCAAAATGCTCACTCCTTTTCTTAAAACATTCTGTCCTCAAGGTTTCCTAGATATGACACGTTTACCCCTGTATGACTCCTCAATCTTCTTTGCCAACTCATCCTACTTGAATCAACCTTCAAACATTGGAATTCACCAAAGTTTAGAGTGAATTCTTCTCTTCTTACTCTGTAAGCTCTCTCTAGATGACTTATTTTAGATGCATGGCATCAGTTAAATTACCATTTCGATATCAACAATTCAAATATTTGTATCTTAGCTCTTTTGAGATTCAGACTTTTGACATTTCCACTCAGAATCTCAAACGCTCTTAAAACTCAACATGGCCTTCCCCAGTGTTTTTCCTTCAGTAAGTGGCATCCCAACTATCTTAAAAGCCTAAGTCCGAACAAGTTAATTTCTGCTTTCTTACTGTCTGTATTTAATCTATCACAAAATCCTATTGATAATACCTCTTAACTTTCTCTTGATCTGTTCATTTCTTTTCAAATCAACTGTCACTACTATAGTCCAAACAGACATCATCTCTGGCTTGGACATTTACAGTAGCTTCATATCTTCTCCTTTTCAAATTATTTCACACTCTAAAGCTGTCCCTTCTTTGCTTAAAATATGTCAGCAGCTTCCCATTTCCTTTGAGTGGTAGAAAGGAAACCAAGAGATTCTGATACAATGGAAGTCAAAGGAAGAAAGAGTTTCAAAAAACATTGGCCAAGTCTATTGAAAGTTTCTGAGGCGCCACGTAGGATACAGGTTAAAAATGTACACTGAAATTAATGGCATAAATATCACTGATGGCTTTAAAAGAGCAGTTTGGTGGGGAAAGAAGTTGCCAGGAGAGAATTATAAAGAAAGAATATGAAGATGGCAAGGACAGACAACTCTTTTATGAACTTTGACAATAAAGGGGAAGAGAAAAACTGGTAAATAGTTGGAGGTTAAATGGGGTCAAAGAAAATATCTTTCTTTTTTCTTGTTTTTAATGTTAGGTGAACCAGAGCATAAATGCTCATGTTAGTCATCAAGAGGAAGAGACTGTTAATAAAGGAGAAAGAGGGATAATTAATAATGTAAAGTTTGAAAAGGAGGTAGGAAATTGGGACCAGAAGACAGGTGGAGATTGCATCATAAAGAGAGCTGATGAAATATTTCTCTTCACTGGAACTGGAAGAGAGGTTAGGTACATCTGCAGATCAATTTAAAGCTTTGGTGCTAGAAGGTTAATTCTGATCTAGTACCTTTTATCTGAGCTGTGAAAAAGGACATGACATCATCTGCTAAGAAGAGGAGCAAAAAGAGGAAGAGACTTGAGGAAAATCCATAAGATTTGAAATAGCTTTTGTGAGAAAATAAGCTGACCTCATAAAATATTAGATTCATCAGGCAGCACTGATTGCCCAGGGAGATTGGTAATGATTATAAATTTATAGTGATATCAATCTCTGCTCTTGGGAGATTTCCCTTGTTTCATCAGGTATAGGCAAAGAGAAAGTAAGTCAATGAGTTCATCCAGGGTTGGGGTGTCTTCAGAAGAGTATAACAAAAATCAAAGAGGAACAAAAGATTTTAGGGTATTGAAAAAATGATCAAATGATGAAATACAAAATCTATACTAGATGGGATGGAAATGAGAACATAAAAGGCTAAAATAGGGAGAAAATAAAGGGAATGGACTGAAAGGCCAGATAAAGGTAAAAAACAGAGTGGGAGTACTTAAACAACTAAGCTAGAAATATAGGAACTGGTGTTTGGAAAGAAGGATGTCTGAATCAAGAACTTTGTAGATGCAGCAATTTCATCTGATAATAAGAACTACAGAAGTGACTAGCTGGTGATAGAATGGAAAATAAACTGGAAAAAAAGATCTTTGTACTGAAAGACCAGGTAACAAAGAGGTTATCCATATGTAGGATTAGAGAGAAGTCATGTAGGATTAGAGAGAAGATTGACTTGTGAGTGCCAAGTTCAGTGACAGGAAGTTAGTAGATGGTATTAATGAACCACAATGAGGACCATTTACCAACTTCTGGTCACTGATGTACCAGAAAGTTGTCTTGAAACCCACTCTTTTCTACAATCTATTTTCTTTCCCATTATTCTACTCTACCTTATTCTCAAAGATTACCAAAAATATCCTCATAGTTAAACCTGGCTTTACTCTATCCTCATTCCCTAAGGTACTTGGCTGAAATAGGCACAGCTAGCTAATTATCCCTCCATCTTGAACTTCTTCCTATCATGAGTTCCATTGTGTGCAGTGTTTCTTTTGTCATTCTTAATATTCCCTTTCTTATTCATTTTCTGCATTTTAAGCATCCAACTATGACTACTCCCTAAAGCACTTTCTTGACCCTGTTTTGCGTTCAAGACATTCTTCCTTAAAGACTGTACCAATGTTGAAGGCTTCAGCTATTACCTGCAACTATCTCCTTTGCAATAATGACTCTCACAGTCATTATCCCTTTATTCCTTACCCCTAATATTGGCCTCAGTTCTACATCTGTGATGTCTGATCAAATATTTTCACTTTTAATACTTTAAAGATAAAATTACTCTCTACTAGAAACTAGTACTCTATCTTACCATCCAGTCATGTGTCAGCACTATATTCCAAGTCACTTGGGTCTTAAAACATCTAATCATCTCTATCTTTACCACCCTCCATATTCACCTTTGATTCACCCACAATACCTTATATAGATGTTTACAAAGGGTAAACATTCAATAAATGTGTACTGATTGGATTATTGATTCTATAAAGCTTTTTTCCCCTTTTACAGTTCTTACTCGTTCTCTTTCTTGACCATTGCCACTTCCACTACCTAG